ATGGATTTTTACAAAATACGACTATTTTGCCAGACTGTCAAACAAACTGGGAAAAAAATTTTTACCTTATATAGAAAGGCGCCTTTTAAAACGGACTCAAGTAAAAAACAGGCATTAATTACTTAAGAATATCCAGATAAATGCAGAGCTTCACTTATCTTTGAAATTGAGCTGCGCGCCTTGGCCTTGACCTTGACCTTGACCTTGTCCCCCATCCCTATAGACAAGTGAAGTGGAACCTGCTGTACGCATTTTGCATTGTCTGCTGACATGCCTTTGGTTCAAATTCTAAGATTTCTTCGAATCTACGAACATCAGTCACATACGGGGTCATTCGTACAAGGCCAAATCCGAATGCAGGCGTTTCGACTAGCGAAAGTTTTCTCCCGGTCATAGTAGTATTCTAAAGGCAGTTTAATTGTTTCATTTTTGATAAACAGCAACTGTTACTGTAGGACTATCCACGGTTAGCAATGAACGCCATTCCCTGACTTCACTTTTAGTTAATGTATCCATGTACGTTTGATGTAAAATATTCCCGCAGACTTTACGAATGACAATATTTTATGCTGACTTTGTACAGCTTCGTTTACAATTCGACCGAAAATGAAGACCATATAATACACCCTCTTTCTGACTAGATAGGCATGACTTGATAGTCGTTTATTTGCAGTTTATTTAAGTTTACTTGATATGGATGTCGGGAAAGGACTTTGCAAACCCTATTGATTACAGGACAGTTCGTTAGGTAGAATTGCATACGAATAGTGAAAATTGTCGCCATTAAAATTATACTCGTGTGGTTTAAATAGCATTGCTTTAAACGACAAAGTTTCTGGGGTTCACGGGTATTCAGCCCAGATTCAGACTGTCGAAGGAAAACGAGGCATACAAATAATCATCCAAACGTTTATCGAAGAACTGCGGGCATCTCGCCTTCACGACCGATTGAGGGAGGCCATTCCATTTCTCCACTACACTTTTTGGAAAAATTTCAGAGCGGAGGTCCAGCCTGGACATGTTTGTGCGCAGCATCAATGAGTGGCCACAGAGATTGAGCGAAAGGTGCCACCAGAAATGTCTTTCAAGCTCAGTCCATGCTCAAGGCCATGTATTTCCTTTTAAACCAGGATAAGATCGCTTCTTTTCTGCCTGTAACACTGAGGGAATAAATTAAGGCGGTTCTGTCTTTCTAGAGTCCCCAGTGAGACTGAGACTAGTCTGTATCACACTTTATCAAAGGCCATACTGTGGTCAAAAGAGATAGCGGTCATAGATAGCCGATCAGTAAGAAAAGGAGTGAATAGATTTAGAATCAGAAGAGACAGTGGCGAGCGAACGTTCCTTTCGATAACTTCTCATCAGGCCAATACAGTTACATAGGACGGGTACAGTGAATGAAATAAAATCGATAAAAGTTAGTTTTTAAATTCCAGGCTGAGCAAGAGCGGAAGGGCGCGGAAAGTTGTATGTGGCTAGTCAACCTTTGACCACGGTAAGCGCGGAGCCTGAACAAGGTTCTTTTGGGCACATAGGGTCGGTTTTCGTAACCTGATTGCGGCCGTTTCTGCTGTTGCTAACAGGCGCTGGCCCAGTATAAATATTGTACAACATTCACTCGAAACAAATGAAGCCAAAGTGCAGTTGAAATTGATGAGTTTGTTTTGGGTTTTTTCCTGAGTTCAAAATGGACTCACAGTGTCCAAGGGGCGCTACAATAAACCTATTCTATTCTATTCTAGTACCTTAGGGTAGCTCGAGGGGATCTTGTAAATCATACGAAATGTTTCAGTGGGATCCATACGATGCCCTGAATCCACTGCATGCGCAAGGGTGGCGCTGTCTATTCTTCTAGTTTCACCCTTTGCTAGCCATGCGGGAAGGTGCTCTCGTATTCTATTGGAAAGGCGCCGACTCGTACGACCAATATAACCTGCTCTACAGGAGCAAGTGAATGAGTAGATGCACATTGAGGCGGTCTGAGATGGCAGCTTATCCTTGCCTTCTCCGCGTAGAATAGGGTTAGTAAAGAAGGATATGCGAACCCTTGCTGCTGGGAAGGTTCCCGAGACAGCTTGGTCAAGGCGTCTTCTTAGGAGTTCACCTGCAGCGTCTCCTTGGAAGTGGACTTTGAGGAACAACGTTTTCTTTTCGGCGGTTAGTGTGGTGGGTTTTGCGGGTCGTTCAGCAAGGTTCTTTGCCATGAACCTGTCAGGGTACCCATTTTCAAAGGAGTAGTCACGCTAAAAGCCATTTTGCGATAAACTAAGGATTTGATTAGCTAGAAAAAATCATTAATTTTGATAGCAATAATTTTTTTCAGACAGCTTGGCGTGCGTTGTATGAACACTATAGTAATTTTGAAAATCCGAACGCGAGCCCGATAAAAATAGAATAACAATGATATAAATTTTATAACAATCCGGAAAGAGGCCATTCTCCAGAAAGCCATAGTAATTTTTACAGCACAGCTTTTAGTTACAGAGTTCAGGATGTTGCCAGTTTTAACTGAATGCGATTTACTCTGATGACTAATCTGTTTCTGAATACTTACAGTAGCAAAATTATTGGTGATGAGTAACGCATCTGATGGCAGAGGAATTTAGAGGATAAGGTCAGATTCAAAGGTAAAGTGGTTGGCAAAGAACGAATAGGACAATTCTGTCTTGCCCAATATTCTGTAATTAAAGTACTGCTGCAAATGAGCAAGGGTGAAGTAGCTTAACCGGACTTAACGGACGATCTGAGACGGAAGACTTTAGCAGCAGATATGGAAGAAGTGGTATCACCAACTGGTAAATATTTCCTACGCCTACCTCGCGCAACCCCCACTTCGGAAACGAATTCAAATATTTATGCAGTTCCAAGTGTATAGATGATGAAATTACAGATGATTCTTAAAGCTACTTTCAGTACTTTTAAGTCTGTCTTTAATACAATGTAAACAATGGACGATGCTGCATTTGGTCTCAACACCTTCAGTAAAATGAAATCGGGAAGATCTTCTGCTAGGCACTGCAGCAAATAATGAAGACTTTCTGTATCATTATTTGAAAAATATTGCGCTAATTAGAGTGCTTGTCAGGTTATTTAGCAAGTTCTTGATAATTTTGGCGCTGAAACCCACAGTTCAACTCACTACGCAGCCAACTGACGGAATACATCAGTCGGACTACGGAGCCAACTCATGAACAAGCCACAACCCAAAACAAAATAACTTGAAGATCTGAAGGTAGCCGGAGATTTCGAGGCCTGCAAACGCCCGAGTAGTTACTGCATATACTTTGAAAAAATCGCAGAGACTTCATTCGATGTCAAGATAATCGTAGGCGATTTTAAGTGGCCAGAAATTGACTGTCACACAAATACTTTCGCTTCTAAATTCCAGAAGTTTATAGATACTATTCACTCTTCAGACTTGTCTCAACTGGTCCACTCTTCGACCAGAAAAGATAGTGTATTAAATTTGATTTTTACTAATGGCACCCTCCCTCCATCTATGGATTTCCATCGTGACCTTCTTAAAAGTGATCATGCATTAATTCATTGTCGTCTTCCAGTTGCCATTTCTGCGAAGACACCGGTAAAACATAGCTTTTTGACTATGATAACATTAACAAGGAACTAGTAGACAACTTCACAAGCACTCTGGATTGGCACAATATTTTTTTAAATGATGAGGTGAATATTTTCAACAATTTATTACAGTGCGTAACGACAGGTCTTCTCGACCTAATTTCATGGAAGACGTTTAAGTCGAGTGTCACTACCTGCACTGTCTCACATTTTCTTAAAAACAGACCCGGAAAGCTAGGAAAGCAGCTTAAAGCTCCTTCCGTAATCTCGTTATCGGTTCACCTAAGAATCGCTGAAATATTTGAATTAGCTTCAAAAATGAGGCTCGCGCGAGATAAACGTAGAGAGTCTATAGCTATTAGAGATGCGGATGCTTCTAAATCAGTTGATCATCGGACAACTTTCTCTATGACACCGGGAAGGGGTCATCGGGAATTTAGGGCGCCGCCAACAAATTACCATATCCACTCACATTTCCTACTTCGTGTATGGTTTCGCCCTCTAGGATCTCTAATCAGAAAATTCGTTTTTTCAATTTTTCAGTCCATGCTGTACCCACGTCCAGAGGACAGCCTATCATCCGGCTGCCAACGAGATGGTCGAGTGGTCTCACCGCCAGCTGAAGGCCTTTCTACGCGCCGCGCCCGATCCGGAGAACTAGACGGACCACCTTCCCCTGGTCTTGTTGGGCATCCGCTCCGTTCTCAAGCCGGACCTTGACTGTTCCGCAGCCGAAATGACTTTCGGCGATGCCGTCCGACTGCCTGGGAAGATGCTTTCGCCAATCCCGTGAGGTGTGGTCGAGGATTCCACCAACCTCCTGCACCGCCCCCGGAGGTTTTGTAGCAGCCGCTCCAGTCCTCCTTTTCTCCGGCTCCGTTTTGTCGGTCGATGGCCGCGACAATCGTTGCCAGGCCGCTGACACACAACCACCCCGGCCGATTATAACTGGGCCCCGCTCCTGTCCAGCTGCAGTGACCCCCGGCTGCCCCCACAAACAATTATCACCTCATGCGCGTCGGACGACCTGGCTTGATACCCGTAAGCCCCTGTAATTATGCTTCCCCCTAATCCTCCCCTAATCAGTCCAATCTCATGATCAGCATCCAACCAGTCACCCCCACCTACTGACACAGACTTTCACTCCCGCGTAAACTACACACCGTGACTGACGCTCTCCGTGAACGGACGCTTATCTCTGTAGCAAGCAAACAGCCAACTTACGGCAACCTGCCCTGTGTACAGAATAAACTAGTCCTCCCAGCTCCCTGACTTCTGACAGTAGACGAAACGAACTTATTGTGCGTCATTTAAGTTGATCTCACATCCTTGATCGCCACAAATTGGTGACCCCTAATTTCCGAACACCGGAATTCCGCAAACTCTTCGTCCACAACAACAATCTTCCGGCAACCTACAGCGCGATGTCCCAAGACCAGAAGTCCCTCATCAACTCAAATTCTCAAGGAGCTGGCGTACGCTTGGATCGGCTCGAGGAAGTATTAATGCGCCTGAAAGCCCAGCTTACTGCAGTTACCACTAACGGCCCGCGGCGAACACCAAACCGTCGACCTTCTTCCCCCGTTTCCCACACCCGCCGTCCACAATCTCCAAGTAGCGTCTGCTGGTATCACCAACAATTTGGAGGAGCAGCTCGACGATGTCTTCAGCCATGCTCTTTCAAGGCATCTCTAACGGCCTCAGGGAGACGATTCCACCCGACAGTAGAGTCCACTGCTGCTGGAAGCGTTGCCAATCTCCACACTCGCCGTTTGTTCCTCTGGGAACGTATCGCTGGCGCCAAATTCCTTGTCGACTCTGGTGCCGAGGTTAGCGTGGTTCCACCAACTCCGGCTGAACGTAAAACCCGCAGCTGTTTCTGCCTAACAGCTGCAAACAACTCCAGCATCTCCACCTTTGGACAGCGCTCCATCACACTTGATTTGGGCCTTCGTTGAATTTTCCGATGGGTTTTCATTATTGCCGACGTTTCCGTCGCCCTCATAGGTGCCGATTTCATAGCTCACTTCAATCTACTAGTTGATCTGAAGAATCGCCGACTCGTCGACTGCATTACCGACCTTCATGCCCGTTGTCAATCCGATGTGAACCCCTGCGCCAACCCTCTCACTGTTATGCCCATCTCTGACAGTCCTTTCCACTCACTCCTCAGGCAGTTTCCCCGCCTGACCAACCCCTCATTTCGTGAAGTGGACATCAAACACACAGTCACTCACCACATTTCCACCAATGGACCTCCCAAATCTTGCCGACCACGTCGTCTGGCACCGGACCGTTTGAAGATAGCCAAGGCAGAGTTCGAACACATGCTTGAGCTCGGCATCATCCGACAGTCCGACAGCTGCTGGGCATCACCCCTCCATCTTGTTCCAAAGAAGAGCGGCGACTGGCGACCGTGTGGTGACTATCGGGCGTTGAACTCAGCGACGGTCGCCGACCAGTATCCCGTCCCGCATATCCAAGACTTCACTCTTTCGCTGCACGGTAAGCGAATATTCTCCAAGACTGAGCTTGTGCGTGCCTACCACCAAATCCCAATCGAGGCCAATGATGTGCCGAAAACTGCAGTGACCACTCCCTTTGGGTTATTCGAATTTACTCGTATGCCCTTTGGTCTGAGGAATGCCACTCAAACCTTTCAGCGATTCATTGATCAGGTTCTGCGAGGTCTCGACTTTGTCTACGCCTACATTGATGATTTGCTGGTGGCTAGTCCTGACGCTGCTGAACACGAGCTTCATCTTCGACAACTCTTCGAACGACTCGACTCCTTCGGCGTTGTAATAAATGCTGCTAAATGTGAGTTTGGAGTCCCCAGCCTTATTTTCCTTGGTCACGAAGTGAACTCAGATGGGATAAAGCCCGTCCCGGAAAAAGTTTCGGCCATATCAACGTTCCCCGTCCCGACAACCATCAGCCAACTACGCCGATTCTTGGGGATGGTGAACTACTATCACCGTTTTCTTCCCCATGGTGCCACCATACTGCAGCCTCTCAACAGCCTGTTGATCCACTCCAAGAAGACACTGGTAATGACCGAGGAGGCCGTCAAGTCCTTCAATGACGTCAAGGCCGCACTTGCGAGCGCAACACTACTAGCCCACCCCCGCGCTGATGCCCAACTAACTCTCATGGCAGATGCTTCCAGCACTGCAGTTGGTGCATCACTGCAGCAAACTGTTAGTGGTGTTCTACAGCCTCTGGCTTTCTTCTCGAAGAAGCTCAGCCCAGCAGAGACCCGCTACAGTGTCTTCGGCCGAGAACTGCTCGCCGTCTACCTATCCATTCGGCACTTTCGCCATTTCCTTGAGGGTCGTGAATTTGTTGTTCTCACAGATCACAAGCCACTCGTTTTCGCACTGAGGGCCTCTCCCGATCGATACTCGCCCCGTGAAATTCGTCATCTAGACTTCATCTCACAGTTTTCCTGCGACATCCAACATGTCCACGGTAAGGAAAATGTGGTTGCTGATGCTCTTTCAAGAATCGAGATGGCTTCCATCACAACAGACGCCATAGACTTCACGCTCATGGCTGAGGCTCAACGATCGGATGGCGAACTTCCCCAATACCGCCACGAGGACTCTTCTTTACGCCTTCAAGATGTCCCCCTTCCCACTGGCACAGGCACCATCACGTGTAACCTTTCTACCGGACACGAACGTCCTTTTGTTCCAGCAACTTTACGACGACGAGTGTTCAGCGCTCTTCACAATCTATCCCACCCTGGAGTTCGGGCGACAGTGAAACTCGTCACTGACCGATTCGTCTGGCCCAACATCAACCGGGATGTACGGCGTTGGACCCGCTCCTGTCTACCATGTCAACGAGCCAAAACGCATCGGCATACTATTACTCCGCCAGGAACTTTCGCCACCCCTGATGCACGCTTCAGTCATGTGCATATTGACCTGGTAGGTCCGCTGCCACCATCTAACGGTTCTACCTATATGCTGACATGTATTGATCGCTTTACTCGGTGGCCGGTTGCTGCGCCCATTCCGGACATCAGTGCCGAAACTGTTGCGAAAGCCTTCTTGACTCATTGGGTGTCCAATTTTGGAGTTCCTGCGACTGTCACTACTGACCGCGGATCCCAATTCGAGTCCACGCTGTTTCGCGAAATCACATCCCTTCTCGGTACCAACCGAATCCGAACAACAGCGTACCACCCTCAAGCAAATGGTCTCGTCGAACGCTTCCATCGACAGCTCAAAACTTCCCTTATGGCCCAGCCCAATCCTTCCCGATGGTCGGATCACCTTCCCCTGGTACTGTTGTCCCTCCGTTCCACTCTCAAGGCCGACATCGGTTGCACTGCGGCTGATAGATAGATAGATAGATAATTTTTATTAAAGACCCGTCGGGGTCCCATCAAAGCAAGTTAAAATAAAGTTGCATGCGAGTTTTAGACGAGGTGGGCTGAATCTTTACAAAATGCAATTCATAGTTTCTGAATTAGAAGTCCATTGAGAAACATGAAGATTGAGGGGTAAAAAAAACTCCTCGGAAAAAGTTAAAAATGATTGGATTAATTATTCAGGAGAAAAAACCCTCTTTAAAAATAGTAACAGAAAAAAGCGAGCAGGACTGGCCTGTAGGTGGCGGTATATAACGGAATGTTTTCGGTCATCGTCAGGGTATCAATAAATGTCCGCCTTGATGGGTACGAATGTGGGTCAGACAGGACTGGCTTGCAAATGGCATTGTATACGGGATTCACAATTGAGATCGTCTGGGCCGGATTGGTACGCCGCGTCAAAGAGGCCAGACGAGAGGAACCGAGATGCGATCGGCCACAGCACGCTTCGAGCTCAGCCGAGCAGTGCGGAAGGGAGGTACGACCGAACTACTAGTAGACAGTGAATACTGAGGGTTCCGCCGTGAGCGTCGACAGACCGCATGAGGTCGGAATGCGGGAGATGACATCAAAAACCGCGAAAATTTTCGCTATGGGGGGGGGAGTGATAGTAGTGGATTTAGAAACCAATTCAAAACAGGGGTTTCTAATGATATAATTAAGAGTTACCACTTAATCTACCACTAAATCCCAGGAGGACCCTTCTCGAAGTCAAGAAGCTGAGTGTTCGGGAATGAGACCGTTAACAGTGCCTTTATGCTTTGCGGTGTAAGATGGTTGCGTAATTTCGACTTGAATATCAGTAACTTAGGCGATAATCTAATTTCAGGCGAAGATTATTCCAAAGGAAGGCATATTTGGAAGCAAAGAAGAGGGAGCGCTTAGATGTAGTACAAAGAGGCGGCGGAATCACCATGCAGGAGTTGCGCGTGGCATAAGACCGATCTCTCGGAGTGAGAGTGTCAATGAGCGGAAGACTGGAGCTAGAGTTGATGCGAAAAAGGAAGCAAAGGCCAGCTTCGAGTCTTCTAACCCACAAAAACTTCATGTTCGCCAGCTGACATCTCTGAGTATAAGAACTACTGGACGAAGCTTGAGAGAACAGTTTCCGGGTGAAAATCCTCTGAACATTTTCGATTTTATTACGGTCGCAGGCGTTCATTAAACCGAAGAAAGGACAGCAGTATTCAAGGACTGGAAGAACAAACATTTGATAAAGTCTTAGCTTCATTTCCGGAAGGAAAAAATTATGCGATATGAATCCACATATCTGCGCGGCTTTGGCAGAGATTCTATCTGCATGAGGTGATAAAGCAAGCTTATTTGTATAACTTAGACCCACGTCCTTTATGGTGAGACATTCTGAGAGTGGGTTATTCTGAAAAATTATGGGACCAGGAAGTTTGGTAGGACCAAAAGACATGAAACTACACTTGGATGATGAAAACTCCATCTGCCATGTCGAACCCCATCTGCTTAAGCGTAGTAAATCGGCATTAATTTTTTCAACACAAACATTTGCGGTGTCCTTAGAGTATGAGTAAACACACTTGAGGTCATCGGCATAAGTAAAAGTTTGCAAATTTCCGAGTTCAGTCGAAATATCATTGATGTACAGAAGGAAGAGTAGCGGACCCAGGACCGTGCCTTGAAGTACGCCACTCGTGATCGAGTGAGGTGTCGAGTAGCTATTACCGACCATGACTTTCTGAGATCGGTTGGACAGATATGACCTGATGAAATCGAGTAGAGGCGGCCGGATGCCGAGGGCTTCCAATTTTACTAAAAGACGTCTATGGGGCACCTTGTCAAAGGCTTTGCTAAGATCAAAGTAAATAACAACCACTGACTGCCGCTCATTACAAAGAGAAGTGATAAGATTAAGAAAAGCCAAGTGTCATGTTTCGCAGGATCGTTCAGGTAAAAATCCATGCTGACTAGAGCTCAGAAGCCGATTAGCTAGACAGAAGTCAAGAACTTCATTGAAAATAATCCTTTCAAGAAGTTTTGCTAGAGACGGCGTTTTGTGCACGCCCCGATAGTTATTAACATCGGACCGAGATCCTGACTTGAAAACGGGAATTATAATTGACGTTTTCCATGTTTCAGGAAAGAATCCTTTTGAAATATAAACCGAGAATAGATGACTGAGCAATATGGGAAAGTCGGACGCTTGTTTAATAATCGAATTCGGAATCCCGTCCGTTCCTGAGCAGTGGGAGTATTTCAATGGCTTATGTGTTTCTTAATGAGATCTGAGGAGACATCAATTGTACTAAGTGTCCTATCTGAAAGTGATCGAAAGAAAGGGACCGGATCGGACTCGGTAGCAAGGTTTTTTGCAAAGAAAGCACTAAACAACTCCGCCTTGTCAGTGTCATCGGTGAGGAAGACTTTTTTATCAGGACCTGGCAGTCGAGACAATCGAACTACTCCTACGAGAGAAGTACGACGAAACGGAGAATCGCCTCGGACACGCCCAAATCAACCAGCTCCTGAAGTTCTGTCTCAAGACGTACTTTACATTCGACGGAACAATCTACGAGCAGGTGAAGGGAACGCCAATGGGTTCACCGATTTCGGGACTCATAGCCGAGGCGGTTCTTCAACGGCTGGAGTCGCTGGTTTTCCGACACCACAGACCGAAATTCTGGGCTCGGTATGTGGATGACACCTTCGTCGTCATCGAACGGGATCAGGTGCTGACTTTCAAAGAACAACTCAACGCCGTCTTCCCGGACATT